GCTTATATGTTTCAATGACTTTGCTACTTCCCCTTTGATGTTGTTTCTCAATTTTTAAAGCCATGCGATAAGCCTCATCTAGTTTAATGACATGATGCAAGTTTAATTGATCCTGAATTGTCCACTTAAGTCCATTAAGATATCTTGTTACCGTTTTTTCTTCAGATTCATCTAAATCATTCCTAGCTTGCAACTTAAAAAAGTTTTCAGTGTATTCTTCCACAGTTTGAGTTCCTTGACGCAGATTATTAAATTCTTGAAAAAGAGTTCTTGAATGATCAGAAGGCAGAAATTTCCCTTTCATTTTTTCTTTCATTCTTTCCCAGTTTTGAATTTTTTCTTTACCTCGCCTTACTCTATTGTTTTGCAAATTTTTCCACCATGTTAAAGCATGTCCCGTTAATTTTAAGCTTGCAAATTTGACTTTTCGATTTTCTGGTATTTCTTTCCACTCAAAAAATTGATCCATTTTCTCAACCCATTCGAGGAATTGTTCAGGTTGTAATTTTCCTTCGAAATTATGAACATCGATTTTAATCCCATGATCCCAGTTTCTTTGACGCCTATTTTGATTCCTAGGACCCTCATCCTCGCTTTCAGAAGATATGACATTAGGATTAACATTAGCTTGATTGACATTCAGATTAGCGATTGCTTCAGCCATTGTATTGATTTGTTGTTGCAAATTATTTAATTGTTGTAAGAGTTGTTGCAAATCCCCTTGATTATTAGCCATAGGACGCAAAGCAAAGACACACAAAAAGCACAGCACCCGAAGAGGCACAACACACCCGAAGCAGCAGCTGCCCGTGAGAGACATTTCCAGAGAAGAAAAAGGCTGCAGCAACTCAATTTCAAGAAGAATGTGAAAGATCAAGTTCCACCCACCAAATCTTGCTCCCAACCTTAATTTTATGGCAAGACATCAGCTCATAATGAGTTACTTCTCCACTAGATATTAATGAGCTGGCACAACTAAAGTTTTAACTACTTAAGCTCAAACCGAAACAGCCAATGCCTTCATGAAACCAACAAACATCCAAAGGACAAATGGACCCCCCAAGCCGGCAAACCCAAGGAAGCAAAATCCAAACCTCTTCCTACCATGATCATTGGATTTACCACCATCATTGGATAGCATAAAAACAAAAAAAAATATAAAATATAACTAATATTGTTCATAACAAAAAATTAAGCAAAAATCTAAATGCATCAAACGCCAAGAGCCCAAGAACAAAACCTAGATCTCAAAAATAGATTCAAATTCAAGATAACCCTAATCCTTTCATTACTCCCTAATTAAAGCAAAAGGAATCATACAAATTCCCTAAACACCCCTCTAATTCAAATTTCCCTCCTAAAAATTGATTTAACACCAATTGGGGCCCACAAGGAGTTCCGCCCCCATGGTTTCTCTCTGTTCCACCGAGCATACACCTGGACCGGTCCAGGCTGGACCGATCCAGCCGGCCCCTCCTGGGCCGGCATATCAATTACATCAAGGATTAGCTTTAAGCCCATATTTTTTTGTTTTAGTCATGGATGTTCTTACTAGACATTTACAAGAGGATGCTCTCTGGTGTATGCTTTTTATTGATGATATTATTCTTGTTGATAAGTCTAGAGAGGGAGTTGAAAGAAATCTTGAGATATGGATGTCAACCTTAAAGTCTAAAGGTTTTCGTTTAAGTAGATCTAAAACCAAATATATGGAGTGTAATTTTAGTAGTAATAGATATAGTGGTGGGATTGTGACTTTGAGCGATCAAATCATTAATAAGAGTACGTGTTTTAGGTATCTTGGGTCTGTTGTTCAAAGTGATGGTGAAATAAATGGGGATATTATTACTAGAATTCAAGTTGGATGGTTGAAGTGGAGGAATGCCTCAGATATGTTGTGTGATCGAAAAATACCCGTCAAACTTAAGGGAAAATTCTATAAGATGGTGGTAAAACTTACAATACTTTATGGCGTAAAATGTTGGTCATTAAAAGAGAATCATTAAGTTAAGTGTGCATAGATGAGGATGCTCAAATGGATGAGTGGCTTCACTCTTAGAGACAGAATGTGAAACATGTACCTGAAAAGGTTGGAATAGCTCCAGTGGTAGATAAGATTAAATAGATTCTTCTAAGATGATTTGGACTCATAAAACGTCGGCCTTCCGATAACCCAGTTAGGAGAGTAAATATATCGAATTTGGCCTATGTTAAGAAAGGTAGAGGTAGACCTAAAAAGACTTGTCTAGAAAATATTAGAAATGACCTTTTTTATTAAATTAAAATTAAAATTTGACTCTTAACATGATACAATTGAGAAAAAAGATTAATGTAGCTGATCTAACCTAGTGAGATAAAGGCTTGCTGCTATTGTTGTTGATGGTGGTAGTGAGACATAAAGTTGTTAAAAGTGCGGACTATTTTCTAAAGGTTCCGTGGTCAGATAAATTAAATTACATTGTTATTGTGTGTAGAAAGACTAAGCTTAAATGTTTTATCACTTCATGGATTTCAACCATTCGCACTTTTCATGTTGTTGTAACCCTGATTAGGTATCCGGTATCCATCAGCTACTTCATGCAAAAAAGATTAAAAAAAAAAAGGTAAATTGTGATTTACCCCTTGTTGACAGTTATTTATTTTTGTAGTCATTTGAGTAGTTTATATTATATTTTGGTCCTACCCCAATTTTAAGATTTGAAATTTTATTATTTAACTCTTTGTGGTTATCAAATATACTCTTGTTTTCCTCCTCACATTGATGTGAATCAATGTAGGAATTGCATTTGGAAAGTTAACATGAAAGTTATTCGAAGCGTTGTCAAAACAAATTTTATTACCAATAAAATAAAGGATTAAATCGTTCTAGGTAATTAACTTGCTTAGGCGAAGATTTGCTTTGAGATAACCAAACAATTCATAACACTCCCAAAATAAAAAGGTCTACTTAATTGCTCATAACAAAAATCCCACAATTAGTAATGAAGAATTTCACCTTGAGTACCCTCTCTCTCTCGTTCACTCTTGGGCTTTTAGCGGAGAAACAAGAACCACACGAAGATGGAGAGCACCACTACGAAAAGGGAGACGAAAGACTTCGTTACCGAAGAGGTTGTCGCCGGAGGAGGTGGTGGTGGATGGCGTCCGATGATCGTCCAAGTGTAGTCACGAAACTGTCGGTCGAAGATGCTTGCGAGAATCGGAATGACTCGCTCCAAGTACTCTTCAATTGTGGCGTCGTCCTCAAACCCGACGTCAAAGCACGGAGATCGTAGGATATCAATGCTCCCGTCGGCGTGGAATACTAATCCCCACTCAAGCTCCGGATCCGCCATTCAACATCGAGGAAGGGCGGGAAGAAGACAAGGGAAGGAGGGTGGAGCCGTGAGCTAGGGGAAGACCAAGAGAAAATATGAATTTGAATTTCAGTTTTTCTTTGGTTGGAGGGAGGGATTAATTGTAATTGAAACCTCCCAAAATTTGAATTAAAAGGGGCGGGTATTAGTGGAGAATTAAGAGGGGAATTAGTGGTTGCTTATGTGGCAAGTAGAGAGAGAATAGGTGAGGTGTTGGGGGCCGGCCATGCAAAGGAAAAATAAGGGGAAAATTTCATAAGTAGTGGGCCCCATGTAATTAATTAAAATCTGAGATTTTAATTTCAGATTTCAATCAATTGGGGAAGTTACAAATAAGAGAGAGAGGGAAAATTTGAATTTGAATCCAGGTAATTACTCCTCAATCAATTGCTCACTAATTTGAGGAGCCAAATTAGGAAGGAATTAATGGGGGTTTAATGGCTGAATTCAAACTTCTCACAGCAAGGAATCTGGTGGGATTAGCCCAGGAGAAGGGGAGATCGGGCTGCTGGGTGAGGGAGGAGAGGGGCGGCGGCTGGGCAGGGGTCGGCGGCTGGTTTAGCCGGCGGCAAGGGGGAGACGGGCAGGGGAAGTCTGCGGGTTCAGGGGGATTTGGGAGGGGCGGCTGCAGAGAAAATAGAGAGGGAGGAGGGGCGGGTTCGAGTGAGTGAAATGGGGTGGGGAGGAAGGGAAAACAGTGAATAACACAAGATAAAACCAAGAGCTCACCGTGGTGGGCTGTTGGGTACTTCGGGTGGAGCCTCTCCAATGCCTCATCTCTTTCTCTCAAGCTCTCAAGCAAGAAGACAAAGGAAAAATCTCAGAATTTTATTAATCAAGCATTAACCTCATACAATAAGAGGAGATCCCTTTATAAAGATCTCAAAGCATGAAACTAAAAGACTCACATGCCCCTTGGGCTACAAGAAACACTACGCCTTCATAAGGGCGAAATCGTCACTAGTACATGAAATAAAAGATACATAAAATAAGATAACATAAAAAAGACATGACAACTTCAAAAATATAAACTCCCGATCGTAGCCGTCGATCTACGATTCCTTCGCCGATAAACCTGCCTAAAATGTCTGTCGATGACCTCATCACACATGCTAGCCATTAGTTCTTCCTTTTGTTCGCTGATTATTCACACGCTTCCTTGCACATCTCCCTCAATCTAGTTGTTGCCTAGAAGCATCTAGTTAATACTTCTCTAAATGTACTTATTAATGTATGCTTGGTAATAATTAGATTAGATACAATTTTCCTATAATCAAATTGAGCGAATTTATTAGTTATTTGGTAAAAATTAGATCAGTTTTCCATTTAACAGCTGCTACTAGCTGAAAAAAATCAGGCTGAGGGAGTAGATTATAGAAATGAATATATAGAAAAAATAATATTTAGCGCAACAAGTACAAATAGGTATTGCTTATAAAAAAGAAGGAACTTAAAAATATATGAAAGTTAACGATCTTTAGATGAATTTGCCCAAAAGTAAAATATTCCCAAATTTCAGATAGTTTTACTTTTCCATTTGTATCCAGAAAGTTTTTTTGACATGACATCGATTGTCTATTTAGAATTCATGAAGTTCCTGACTGCTTTGCTGCTTCATCTGATTAATTGGAATTCATTTTGCAGGAGTTAGAGAAAAGTCTCAAAACTACATGTGAGGATTTCATAATGTCTGTCACGAAGCTGATTGTTGACCCCATGCTTTCCTTTGTTACAAAGGTAATTAAAACATTACTCAAGGAGGTACAGAATTGCCTGACTGAGGTTTTGAAAAATGAACAAATAAGCAGCGTATTCTAAACAACCGTGCCATTCTGTAAATGTAGAGTGGAACTACAATGTGACTTATTTTTTCTTCAATTCAAATGCAATTGTGATAGGAAACACTTGTAGATCTTAAGTATTTCCTATCAACTATGATGCACCGACACGGACACGGCGACACGGACACGACACGACACGGACACGGGACACGTCATTTTTTTAAAATATAGGACACGGGTGCAGCTTGGACACGGCATAATAATTTTTTAATATAATATATAGAAATTAAGGTGACATTATATTAAAAATGACAAGCAATAATAAATCAATTTCATGATAACTTGTTTAGCTTATAGCATAAAGATGTTTAGTACAAAATGTCTAGTACAACCACAAAAATTTATCAGGCGTTGAGAGTCAAGCGTCGATGTCATTTATCAGTCACTGAGAGAGGAGATGAAAATATCTTCACTGCCAAAAAGAAATGAAAATGAGAATATTCGATGATTGGGAATTAAGTGACGTTGATTTTGTGTTGTGGATAGGAAATAAGAAATTTAGTTTAAATCCCGCAAATTACAAGACATTATTTTTTAAAAAAAATTCATAAAATATTTAAGATACACCTGTCGGACACGTGTGTCCAATTTGCATTTAATATTTTTTAATTGGACACGTTTTCGGCGTGTCCGACACGTGTCGGAGGAGTGTCGAACGAGTGTCGTGTCGTACACGGTGTCGGCACTGCACGCCTCTTTGAGGAGAAGTGTCGGTGCATCATAGCCTATCAATCTTCGGGAAGCAGTGAGAATTCTCCACAAAATCCACACAAAACCACGAAAACAGTAGATAATTTGTATTATTTGATGAAAGGGAAATGGAAAATATCAAGATACAATTGATCCTCTATTCGAGAGGAGGATCGATCTCTCCCAAATCTCTAGATGCCACTAGAGCCCAAAGAAGCCTAAACCTAAGAGATATCAAATTTCAGCCAAATTCAAGATGCCCTAACCCTAGGAAAACCCTAAAAATCCTTCCTAAAATGTTTGGTTGGCTCTTGCGATCTGAATGACTACCGAAGAGGGGAAATCTTCAGCCTCTGTTGTGCTGGGTCTAACAAATTGCTTGTCCAATGGCATGTCCTTTTTAATTATTATTAGCCAAAACATGTTCTATTATTTTATAGCCATCGATAGCATTAGAGAATTTAAGGAAGTTGTTGATTTTTTTTTTTTTTTATGAAGGAAAGTTCGTTAGGCTTTGTTAATTCTACCTTTCTTTTAAAAGGAAAAGTTGGCTATTAGTTTTGATTGAGCTCTCTTGGGCCTTGTAACGTCTGATCATGATTCAATTATTTAACCTCGCTAATATGTGTTAGGTTGTCTATTTAGTACCTTTTTCAAAAAGTTGAAAGTTTAATCTCTGTTCACAAAATGTAAATGAACACTTACTGAGCACTACGTGATTTTTCTTTCAGGTGACAGCAGTGAAAGCTGTGCTGTCTTCAGGTGCTCAGGATAAGAAAGAGGATTCTGTTTTGGCAAAACCACTGCGTTCTTACGCATTTGCTGCTCCTGAGAGGATCGTCGAACTAACTCAAAAGGCAAGAAAACATGCTTACAATTTCTTCATTGCTTAGAATAAATCCTAAACTTTTGTTGTTTTTTGTAATAGGTTGGTGACAATCTTCAGCAAGAATTACCAAAAGTAATGGCAAAAATGAAGCTCTATTTGCAGAACCCAACAACCAGGATGATTTTATTTAAACCAATAAAGTAAGGAGACATTTCTTCTTATACTGTTCATTGAAATTTTAGGTGTCGTTTGGTTCTTCTTCTTCTTTTGTAAAAGATAGTTTTAGAAACAATGGTTGAGGGAATAGAGTTTTTTAACAGAGAAGCAAAATATCAAAAAGTTTCTCAAAATAGTAGAAAAATGAAGTTTCCTAAAAAGTATTTCTATAGAAGCGTTACATCCAACAACGACAAAAAAAAAAATTTCCGTTTCTAATAAGAAAAAGCAAAAAACACCTGAACAAACGAGGCCTTAATGATTCTAATTGGACCTTTCATTCATCATACTCCATTCGATGCTATATACCTCTTATAATAAACCACGACAATCATAATGGCCAAATACAAGAAATGAGCATAATAACTTGAATAAACTAAAATCCAAAAGAAGATTAGTCAAAGCTGGATGAACTGGCCAAATCTAAGTCCTGAGTGCACCATGCTTGCTCTATTATTAGTAAAATATAGTGGTAAAACATAAATATAGTTTTACAGTTATGGGATGCAATGATATATTCTGCATCACTGCCAGTATTATTTAATAGAGAAAAAGTTGCCTGAAAAATGTTAAATTTATGTTGAGATGAATGTTATACAAATTTTCTTTATATAATACTAATAATTTTGAAGCAAGTTAAATATTTTCAAGGCCCATTCTGATCAAAATTGTTTCATAATACTCTGACATAATTTATTTTTTATATCATCATCCCAGGCTATTTTTTCAGTTTTCAATCATGAATACTTGAATATTTTAGATTGCCTGCTGATGCTTATGGTGACCTTGCTGCAGAACAAATATTGTGGAAGCTCATGTTCAATTTCAGTCGCTGATCAGGTCTGAATACTCACCTGAAGAAATGCAAAATTTTGGCTTGGTTTCCATCCAACATCTTCAATCTCAGATTGACAACCTTCTCTAGGAGAAATTATTCTGTGCGAACACCGGAAGGTCCAAAGGCCAATCAGAACACGCCACATCATCTGGTACCCAGCAGTACACAGTACCGGTACCGAGGAAAAAAATGGCATTACTCGTTCTGATTTGACCTCTAGATGGCGTCCGGTGTCCGCACAAAATAATTTATCCTTATGTAGACACATAAAACACATTCCCCACAGCACCAAATTTTCCTACAGGCTCATGTTGTAATTCATTTGCACTATTTTTACACTTGTTCGACAATTTTAGAAAGATATATCCATGTTTTGGTTTCATTTTCTTCTAACTTTGTAAATTTTTCCATCTTCTGTAAATAGGAGGGAGAGTTGATTACTATATTGAGTATGTTTACTTCCTGAGATCCTTTTGAGTTTTATCTAGCTAGCTTCAATTGCCCAAAGGTAAATTGTTTATTCCATGCAGTTAAGTAGTGGTGATATTGAGTCAGAAAGAGTTGGTATGAGTTTTAGTTGGAAACTGATTCAAGCCAAGTAATTAATTTGTGAATATTTTGTCTTTTTAGTTGAATTAAACTAATTTCAAGCGAGTCATTATTTAGTTTAAACAAATTTATTTGAATTAAGTCAATTAAGATATGAGTTTTGTGCTTTAGAATAATAATAGCTTAAATATCTGTTTAAGATGACCATTGTTTTTTAAATAATTTTAAATATGAAGGAATGAGAAATGAATCACATAATTTTTTTTTTTGGAGGGTCAAATCCATCCGAAATTGTTTGAGGCAATTGTTGCCATGAAGTAGTTGGAAATTTGTTGAACTTGTCTTGAGATGAGTGTGATATGTAAATAATTTGTATTGCAATCAGCATAAAGTATAAAAACAACAACATCAAGCTTTTATCTCATTACATGGGGTTGATTATATAAATTCTTTTTCTCCATCGTGTCCATTTAAGAGTTAATTTTTCATTTAAATTTAATAAAGAAATGTCATTCTAATATTTTATAATCAAGTATTTTTTGGTTTACCTACCTCTACCTTTCTTAACATAAGCTAAATCTAATATATAGCTATTGCTAGTCAGTTTATGGGAAGGCCGTCATTTTATGTAACTAAACCATCTAAGGCGACTCTCTAATCTTATCTTCTATTGGAGCTACTTCAACCTTTTCACGTATATGCTTGTTTCATGTCATGTCTCTAATAGTAAAACCACTCATCTGTCTAAACATCCTTAGCTTTGCAATTCTTAATATTATGCTTCTTTTTTAATGGCTAACATTCTTCATCATAAAGCATTGTAGGTCTCACCAACCACTATCTTATAGAATTTGTTCTTGAGTTTGAGGGGGATTTTTTTATCACACAATAAGCTCTATGTATTCTTCCACTTCAGTCATCTAATTTATTTCACCATCACCTTGAATGATAAACATAAGATATCTAAAACATGTACTCTTTATTAATGACTTGATAACCCAAAGTCACAATCCCCCTAGTAAATTTATTCATACTAAAATTATACTATATATATTCGATTTTAGCTCTACTCAAATGAAAAAGCTTAGACTTTAAGGTTGACCTTCATAATTCAAGTTTACCCTAACACTCTCTAATCTTACCAGCAAGAATGTCATTAGTAAAAAACATACACATGGTGCAATCTCTTGCAAATGTCTAATGAGAACATCCATGACTAAAACAAAAAGATATTGGCTTAAAGCTGATCTTTGATATAATACAACTAAAATAGGAAACTACTTGGTCAAACCAACTTGTGTTTTAACACAAATGAGACCTCCTACTGTCCTACATGTCCTTAATGACTTGCATATAAGCATTATTAATCCATTTCTTTTTTAGATTCCGTCATAGCACTTCTCTTGGAACTTTAGCATATTATTTTTTTAAAATCAATAAATATCATATGTAGATCCTCCTTATTCTCTCTATACTTCTCCATCAAACCTCTCAACAAATGTATAGTTTCAATAATAGACCTAACCGGCATGAATCCAATTTTAAAATTGATTTTGATAAAAATAAATTTGTTTGTAGTATTTTAACACAATTTTTTTTTTCATTGGAATTGAAGATGAAAAAATTTGATTATAGATTAAATTCTATTTTTTGATATCATTTAGTTGGTTGCAGATGAAAAATATTTTTTTTAAAAGAAACTTTTTTATTTACTTTGAAAGTGACTTAAAATTCTAATTTTGAAGGAAATTTTAAGGAGGTTTTGTTAGATTTGAAGTCCATGCTATTGAATTGATTTCTGAATAAAATATGTCAATCAGGATGTTATATACATTTGAATTTTTTCTATCTTGTATGAATTCTCGGATATCAAAAGAAATATTTGAATAATATTAGTACATCGAAAATGCTCAAATTATATTTAAAAAAAGATTTTGAGAAGGGGCTTATAAGCAAAAGAACCGTTGAACTCAGCGAAGTTATTTAAAAGAAGGATCACATTGATATAACTAAAGGTCTATTTTTAGATTTTGGGTTGAGATTTATTATGTGTGTAAGCATTCATAGTCTATTTTTCTTTATATTTTATTAAAAAAGGAAATTTCAATTAATGAGGCCACTTTAGCTCAATTATGTAAGCTCATATATTATGAAGTGGGGAACTAGTTAACTATCAAAATTAAAGAAACTCAAAACTAATAACCAATTTATTGCTTCTATTATCGAGATCCCAAGATACAGTCACTGTATGACTAAATCGATCATATAGTTGTAGCGACTGAAATTCTTTTCATAAAATTTTTTTTATTATTATAGAATTGTGTTTTACGAAGGTAAATTTAATCAAGATCTTGTTTTTCATCATTTTGATGTACTTGCTGGTCCAGTTTATTAATACTATAATACTTCATGTTATAATATATAAGGAACCTGATTAGCAACTAAAAATTACCTCATTATCTCCGTTTAAGTATCTTTAGTAGACATAGACAAAGGTGTGTGCCTAAGTCATATTTTTGCACTAATATGACTTAGGCAAACTTATCATTATTTAAAATAAACAAAAAAAAAATTCCAAAACAACCAAATAAGCCTTTGATTGCAATTCCTCTCCCAAACTAAACAAAAAAGCTGTATATAAATTGCATTTTCACTTACAAAGAACTTATTACTGATACACATTCAATAGAGTAGCCAATTACTACCCTGAAAACAAAATAGGACAGTAACACACATTGTCCTTGTAAGTTTTACTCTCTGAAGCTATATGATCCAATAGAGACCAACCTTCCTGGTAATTAACATCATTACAATAGGAATACCAAAAGTTATATAGTTTATAAGAAACTATATATATTTAATAAAATGTCTCTTAACCTTTGCAGTTTAGCAATCTTCCCACTCATAAACAAGTTCATCTCTAATGGAAGACATCTGTACCAGCAATCATGGACATTTCTGTTCAAGTGTACCTGTTACAATGCTATATCAACATGAAATAAACTATGATTTTTGCCGGTTCTTCGATTTGTTGCTTATGAGTAAAACTTGTATGTTTTTGCGTCGATAATGATCTGTCTTAAACCACCAATGGGTGACAAAATCATCAAGAAAAGCCCCAAAATGATGCAAATCTGAACAAAGTTGTTAAAAAAAGAAGAAGAAAATATCAATCAGCTCATCATTTTGAAAACAGAGAAGGAATAAGAGTTCATAAATTGAAAAAGAGAAGAAGATTACCCAATTAGTTATCCAAGACAAACTGAACTTTCTAGGTTTGTATATACACAGCCACATCACACAAGGAAGCTACATAAAGAGAGAGAGAGAGAGAGCATTTGTCAGATTATATATAACTGTTGCAGAAAAATCTATTACATTTGTTAATCATAGGCTTTATTTGGGACGGTTTTCTTACTACGACTTAAAACAACATTCAAGAAAGGTGCTTTAAAAAGTAGTAAGAAAGTCATCTCAAACAAAGGCATAAACTTACAAAGTATGTTGTTGGTGCGAACGCAAATCCTCCAAAGAAACCAAGTAGTCCACTAAAGAAAGGGAAAGTCATACCGAGGAACATGGTGATAGCTGAAAAACAATACAACATTAGTACACATTCAAAAAAGAACATATCAAAATAGTTTTTGGATATAAAAAGTTCATTTCAATCCAGATTATCTAATTTAGCCATCCGACTCTTCAAATTTGATCCAAAATAATCCAACAGATAATCATTTCAGATCATATTTCGGAGTCAATGAGCTAAACTGAACATATTAGAGATGGCTGTGACAAAAAGGACACAAAATCAATCAACAACATTAGAATTTCTTACCAACATAAGTGCTCCGAGCAATCAACCTCAGTGCAAAACCAGGAGGAAAATGCAACTTCTTCACAAGAAGAGTCTCAAGCATATCGAAAACCGGCATTGCATAAATCTGATAGCTCCCAATAACATGAACAACAACCATCATGTTTGCCATAGCTATCAACCAACGCGGCTTCTCAAGACTAATAAGCACGTTATCCTCAACCGCGTTTCCAAACGCCCAATACCCAACAAGCGCCACAGGAAAATAGCAAAGAGCAACTATGATATAAGCCACCACAACCCCTCTCCACATCGGCTTCTTCGAAGGCTTCTCTGGAGTGGAAGGAATAGTTGCCTGAATCTCTAAAACCACATTATGGCCAGCATAAGCAAAAGCCACATCTCCCAAAGCACCGAAGAACCCTAATACCGTTCCACCAGTGGTAGGAGCTCTGTATCCATATTCCACTCCTTCCTGCTTCCCCTTATCAACCGAAGCTCCCCAGGCAATGGTGGAGTAGCTGAGCGACATGACTGCGGCGGCAAGGGAGACGCCGGAGATGGAGTTGAAGTTGGGGAGTTGCGAGAGGACGAAGTGGACGGAGGCGAAGATCATGATGAAGTAAGTGAGTTTGATGTTTTTGCAGTCGGTGCAGACTGTGTCGTGAAATTTTTTTAGGGATTTGCCCCCGGTGACCATGTAGACGATGCAAACGCCGACCTCGACGATTAGTTGTTGGGGGACGACGATGTAGAGGCCGAGGCGCTCCCCGAAGGCTTGTTGCCCTAGCTCGTGGTAACGGTCGAATCTTTTCCCGGGTACCATTTCGTGCATTTCCACCATTTGCCAGAGTGTGTATAGTGTAATGAACCAAGATAAGATTAAAATAGTGATGCCCGGACCCCTGTTGATGAATTTAAATATTCAAATTATTATACCGTTAGTAAATCATTTATTTAAGGTTTCATAGCCAATGTAAATGGAGAAGTATATCTGATAGTTCTATTTAAAAAATATTATGAACATTTATTTCTGATCAAAATAATAATAATGATGTTCAACAAAAAATAAAAAAATTCCAAATACACTGCAAACAGATTCAGTCAATCGAGTTATTTGAACTTTCAAATTTATATGTTTTTCTTTTGTACACATGCATGAAAGTTCATTTCGGATCGATGTACTCGAAATGCTATTTAAAGAAAAAACATAAGAAAATTAAACATGACAAAATGTTACGAAGCAACGCAGGCATTACAGATGCGAAGTGAGATCATAATCGAATCAATTGTAAGACGAAGTGCAAACCGTCTTTAAAGAGTGAGAATAAGGCTTTGTTTGGGACAACTTTCTTACTGCTTATTCAACAGCTTTTTAGTGTACTAGAAAGCCGGTTCAATAAGCTATATGAAAGTCGTCCCAAACGAAACCTAAGATGATATTTTAATCTGAAATGAACTTTTGAATATATTTTCTAGTGAAAATAAATAATAGAAATATTTCATTAATTTCACATACTATAAGAAGCATAAAATAAAATTTTTCATAAATATGATAAAGTATTTTAGTTACCATCCAAGTCTAGACATGGCATAAGGCAAGCCAAGCACTCCAGCTCCAACCATGGCTGTGACATTATGAAAGGCAGAGTACCACCACTTGGCATTTCGTGAGGAGGTGATTGGTAGCCACTCATCTATTGCTTTTTCCTTCTCAGACTGCAAAAGGATTTGGATTACTTGTTAATCACTCAAAATCAAGATTAGAATAATTTTAAATTAGGAAAAAAATGGGTGAAAATATCCTGATTATAATTTCATTTATATTTTAAAAAATAAAATTTTGATCATAATTTATTTAAAAA